CAAGATCTGTACACCTAATGAAGCTAAGCAAGGAGGAGGACCCTGGGTAAGATGCTCAATCTTCATTCAGAAAGGCAAACTGGATAGACATCGGAAGAGGGAGAAAACAAGGAAAAGGAGCCTACCACAGAGGGCCTCTGAAAGACTCTACCCAGCAGGGTATTAAAGCAGATGCTGAGACTTATAGCCAATCTTTGGGCAGAGTGCAGGGAATCTTATAAAAGAAGGCAGGGATAGAAAGACCTGGAAGGGTCTGGAGCTCCACTAGGAGAACAACAGAACCAATGAATCTGGGCCTAGGGGTCTTTTCTGAGGGTCTCATGGAGATAACCTAGACCCTCTGCACATAGTAGCCCATGGCAGCTCAGTCTCCAAATGCGTTCCCTAGTAAGGGAAGCAGGGGCTGTCTTTGATGTGAACTCCTCCCTGAGGGGGGAGCATCCTGACCAGGCCACAGAGGAAGGTTATGAAAGACAGTCCTGATGAGACCTGATAAGCTAGGATCAGATGGAAGGGGAGGAGATCCTTACTATCAGTGGACTGGGGAAGGAGCATGGGAGATGAGAGAGGAAGGGAGGGTGGGATTGAGAGGAGATGAGAGAGGGGGCTACAGCTGGGATACAAAGTGAATAAGTTGCAATAAATAAAAAATTATATTAAAAATATTTGTGCTTAATAACTGCCTTGGTTCCCACATTCTAGCAAATTTTAGTTATAGTGACATCAAAATACCAAAAGACAGGAGTGCTTACTTTGCTTCACAGTTTACTCATTATAAAAATAATACACAAATTTTGTATGAATTAATTAATAAAAGCAACTTTCTAATTCTGTAATGGGGATTTGAAAAAAATGGCAGACTGTTTCTACCCATAATGCCACAGTTATACTCAAGAATGTATATTAATTAAGGAACATAACAGATCCCAAGAAATTTGAAACTATATGCCATGTGACTATTTAAATTAAATTCAAGCCAAATTAAATTGAAAACTTAGTCATTCTTAGCAGATCATCAGGTACTGCAGGTGAAATAATATGGTTTATATTTAGTTTGTTATAGTGCCAGGTTGGATAGAGATTATACATTGAAACACTATTATATTCTTTCTTTGTCAAAAAAACAAAAAACAAAACAAACAAACAAACAAAAACAAACAAACAGATAAAACCCTAGCAGATCAAAGGCATGGTTGCAATCCCAGTAGTTAGGAAGCACTGGCAAGAGTATAAACAGGATATCAAGGCCATCCTTGACTACATAATGAGTTCAAGTCAGGCCTGAGCTACCTAAGACATCTCAACTCTACCTTCTCTGAAGTAGCATACCACTTTACATGTACTCAGAAACCCCCAAAGCCAATGATGGTATTCTATGTAATCTCATAAAAGCTCAGGCTTTAACTGCACTCAAGGATAGAAAAAATGTTTTGTTTTTTTTTTTTGCCTAATTAATATTACTGTTTCTATGTGTAAGTTTTCCACAGACAGTAAAGTAACTGACTTTTAAATAATGTGTAGTATTCCATATCCATAGATACTATAACATCTGCAGATTCAACCAATCACAAATTATAGCAACTGAGACCTCAATAGGTATAGGACGCCTATTATAAACCAAACTACAGAAAATTTCTATAATCTCTGAAACTGCTTCCATATGGAACATGTGGAGTTTTTTTTTTTTTTCTTGTTATCCCCTACACAATACAATATAACAATTATTTCCATGGAATTTATATTGTTTTAAGTATTATATTTAATCTAGATGTGGTCTAAAGTATACAAGAAAATGTCATGGGTACACATACTATGCCATTTTGTATAACAGAATAAAATAAACCCTGTGAATTGGAGTATTTACAGAAGATCAGATTCTTCTGTACAGATATGGCTGACACTTGCCATATCTGACTCACACATATGGCTTAAGAAATAAAACACTTTAAGGTCCCATCATCTCAGATTTCAAGACCTATTATTGAGCTATTGTAATAAAACAGCATGGGACTGGAATAAAACTGGCATGTTGACCCAGGTGGGTAATGCACACCTTTAATCCCAGCACTCAGGAGGCAGAGGAAGGCAGATCTCTGAATTGAAGGGCAGCCTGGTCTACATAGTGAGCTTCAGGCTAGCCTTAGCTATATAGTGAAACCCTGTCTCAGAAAACACAAACACACATATACATGTGCACGCACACACACACCATGTTGATGAACAGAAGAGGAGCCAGACATAATTCCACATACATACAGACACCTGATTTATTTTTAGACACCTGATCTTTAACAAAGGCCAGAAATATACACTGAATAAAAGACAGCATCTTCAAGAAATGGTGCTGGTCAAACTCGATAGCTACACTTAGAAGAATGAAAATGAATCTGTATTTATCACCCTGCACAAAACTCAACTCAGAATTAATCTAAGACCTCTACATAAGACTGGATACATTGAACCTGTCAGAAGAAGTGGGGAATAGGCTTGAACCTATTCTATCGGCACAGAAAAATATTTTCTGAACAGGATACCCATAGGACAGGCCTTAAGAACAACAACAATAAGATACCTCATGAAGCTAAAAGGCTCTGTACAGAGCAAAGGACACCATCATTCAAGCAAAGTGGCAGCCTATGGAAGGGAGGAATACCTTTAATCAATTATACATCTGCTAAATGATTAGTTTCAATAATATATAAAGAACAGAAAAACTGAACATCAGGAAAATCACCCACTTAAAACTGGGGTATAAAACTAAACAGAGTTCTCACAAGAAGAAACACAAATGACTGAGAAACACTTTTTAAAGTTTTCAACATCCTTTGCCATCAGGAAAATGCAAATTAAATTACTTTGAGATTTCATCTACCCCAGCCAAGATGGCCATGATCAGCATAAATGTCAGCACATGCTGGCAAGAATGCAGGGAAGAGGGAACACTTATTCCTTGCTGACGGAGGTGCAAACTGATACAGCCACTGTGGAAATCAGTGTGTGGGTTCCTCAGGGAGATAGAGGACAGATCTACCTCAAGATCTAGCTACACTACTCTTAGGAACTTGCCCATCCATGTCCACCACTTTTCTGTAAAAACCAGAATCTGGAAATAGCCTAGATGTCCATCAAGTGATGAATGGGTAATGAAAATGTGGTGCATTCATACAATAGAATATTATTCACTTTTTAAGAAAAAAATATGAAATTTTCAGACAAATGGATGCAGCTGAAACGATCCTGACTGAGTTAAACCAAGACAAAAAGACAAATATTTCATGTTTTCTCTTATATCTGGATGTTAGCTTTTAAGTTTTAGATCTGTGTGTTTCAACATGAATAAACAGAAGTTAAGTAGCTAGTGAGGTACTAGGGAAGAGGAGATCTTCCAACTAATAAGAAGTAGAGTATAGTGTTATAAAGGAATAAAACAGAAACCAGAATAGGATTAAATTGTGAAGAAGAAGAGGGGTAGGGAAAGGCAAGATATGAAGAGAGACCACAGTAAATGCCTTTTGAAAAGCCATATGGAAACCTGCTGGAGAAGCTTCCTAATATACATATATGAAAGGAATTTAAATGGAGTCAACATATAATGAGAGATAATGTCACAACTAGACATACCACCAAGTAAAACCTCGGGTGCCAGGAATCGATTACATCTTTTGAATCAATGGCCAAAGGGGCCCTCAAAACCCCTTCCCAATAAAACATTACAGGCTATTGCTGAAGCTGTTGGCTACCCTCCATAACCTGCTTCCATTCTGTTAAAGGAACATAGCAATAAAATGACTCCTAATGACATTACCTGCTGGTAAGGGATTGTTGCTGAAGACACAGCTTTATTATATCATCAAACTTGCAGAAATCAAGCTGGTGTACAACTTGAAGCTTCACCCCCACTTACTGTTGCATGGTGCTAGAAGGTACTTTGCATGCTACTGGAGAAGAAAAGTAGCAGTTTCACCCAGCTACAAACCTTGCTACACACAACAAATCTGCAAAATATCCTGGTGCATAAATGGCATCACTGTTATGCAAGTAACCATAAACTATTTTATTGGATTAAGGCCCACTCCATGAGAGGGCATATACATGATATTGTTAAAGTGGCCAAGAACCTGAGACTAGATAGGCCATAGTTCTAGGGGGAAACCTGCTATCATTCTAATAAAGGAACACAGTAATAAAAATGACTCCTAATGACATACTGCTATACCCATAGAGCAGATCATCACTCAAACCTCCATAGAGAAGCTTCTTCTTGCAGTAGATTTTAACCAATGAACAGAACAATAGGCAAACAGTGAAAGACTCTGGAGCACTCAGCCTTGTGTGGCATGTCTTTATTAGAGCCCTTCCCTTAAGGCTCAAAGATCTATGTGGAAGAGAAGGCAGAAAGACTGTGGTGGATGACTCTAGGAAACAGCATCTTCCACGTGCAACTCACAGAGACTGTGACAGCACCCACAAAACTACACAGATTAAAGTCCCGGCACTGAGAAGGGCAAGCAGATACAAAGTCCTACCACTAACCAAGGAGCTATTTGCAATTGATTGATAGCTGCTGGAAAACAGAAAATCTGTTTTCTCCAACAAAGTGTTACTGAGTCTACCAACCACACTCCAAGGGAAGGCCCCATGCATGTACACACACACAGACACACAGACACACACGCTTTTTATGTTATTTTGATAATTTTTGTTTTGTTTTGTTTTGTTTTTCCTTTTTCATTTTTGTTGTTTCCTCTGTGAAACAAAGATGCTTAATAAGGAGGTGGGGAAGATCTGGGAGGTATTGGGGGAAGAAGAATATGATCAAACTTTTTATATGGAAAAAAAGAAAACATTTCTTAAAAAATTCACCAGTATTTTATAACTTAAAGACCACAGCAGTAAGATTTTAGAAAACCCAATTTCTTATAACGTATCTTGAAACCAGGGTAAGTGCTACTGTACGCAGAACAGAAAAAAAAAAAAAACTCTAGTAATTTTACACTTACACTGCCACATTTTTCCTAATGGTATATTCATCCAACTCGTCATCTGAGCTGCTATCGGTGGCATCAGAATCCAGACCCTCTTCGACATGAGACAACAGCCCTGTAGCAGACAGTGCAAATCTTTGGATTTCTGCAGCTGTACATTGAGAAAAGCCATTGTTTGTATCATCCCATAATTTATTCTCTGAAGCCAGTATGTTGACATCTGGTTTAATTTCAGTGTGCTCAAGTAAACTATTACCCAAAACTGTTGTGGGTTCATGAAAGATCTTCATTGTGGGCAGCTGATGTTTCATAGAAAATCTCATCTGTTGGCCATAGTGCTTAACAACATGCTTCGCCAGGAGCATCTGCAAGTGCTTCTGAGTTCTTCTAGCCTGGCTAAGTAAGAGTTTCTGCTTACTCACACAGTGAAGTAAACGAGCATTCACTTCCTCCTCTTTTTCAGCAGCTGAGGAACTAATAGGCACATCGGAATGACTAGGTCCGATTTTCTTTTGAGTACATTGCAATAAGCCCTTTTTAATCTTTGTGTCGGTGAATTTATCCAAGAGTGCATTCTTTTGGTACCATTTACAGTTTTGCAGATGTATTTTATCTACATTGGCATCTTTGGTGAGATTTGAATCCAAAACAATTTGTATGTCTTTCATGCACTGGCTTGTGGTATCTGAGAGTTCCTTTTTGATGAACTCATTCTCAGAATGAGAATGGCAGACCTCACTGAGCTGAACGCTGCTGCCATTATACAGTACATTTTTCAGCTTACAGCAGTTGGACTCCATTACTTTCTTTTGGTTATAATTCTCATTATACTTACTTAGTGTTGAATTAGAACTCATTAAAAGAACGGTCTGAAAATGTTTTGAAGCCTGGGGGGAGGCAAAATGTTTTAAATTCACAAAATTAGTATTTAGAGTAGGTTCAGGAGTCGGGAATCCCAGCATCTGAGAGAAAGTGTCTCCTCCCTTAAGCTTTTCATCTACAGTTCTTGGATTTTCCATGCACAGCATCTTGTCAGATTCCATGGTACTTGGCAAAGATGAAAAGCAGATACCCTTTGTTGTTGCCTCCTTCAGAGCTGGGGTCATGGCGATTCCTGAAGATAATTACTGGAAGCCTAAAATTATATAAAAAAAAAAAAATACATGATCAAATGTCTAGGAAAAAAGCTTGATGCTTACACTTTTGTCAAAGGCAACTTTTATTTTTTGATGTTTCTGATTAAAATGAGCAAGGCACCAAAGATTTCCTTTATCTCTCAACTTCCCACACTACCCCAACAATGAATAATCTGTAATTCTTCACTCTGACTGTGAGCCTAACAGTCACAATTCCAATTAACGTTGCAAATGACTAGACTGGGGATATGCTCAGTGGAATAATACTTGTGTGGCACATGTGAGATCCTGGGTTCCATCTGTAGCAGCACTAAAACAAGCAAAAAATGCATTTGTTTACTGCCACTGTAAGGGTTTCATAACCCATGTGGGTGCAAGCACATTTCACAGTCATGTCACTGACAGTGTTTACTGAAGAACTAACACTTTCAGTCTCTTAATCGCACTTGAAAATGTGATTCAATCTCACAACTGCAAAAACATTTATCTTTATGAAACAAAGTAAGTTTTTCTAAAATGAAGTTCCATTTGGAATTTATTTTTTTCAAACTGAACAGTAGTAACTACAAGTAAAATATGCTACACAATCTGTTAATAAGTACACCTAAGTGAACACAAAACATATGAGTTCATGGTTGTTAAAAAATAATATGGCAGTGAGAAACCGCCTGATCTGAGACATGTATTTTTCCTGAAATGTCTCTATAATATTTTCCATTCTCACAAATATGCATTTATTATCATCGTGGAACGTAGTCCTCCTACCTAGTAAGTAGTGAAAGCCATGCCTAATGACCAGTAAAGATTAATTCCAAAGTTAAACAACTTTCAAAAGAAATGAATGAAGCCACTACATTCTGACATATAGAAAATGGCAATGTAGTAACACTAAGTTTTACCAACAGCATACTCAGTGGAAAATATTACATCATTAACTATTTTAAGTTTTTAATGATACTTAATACACTGGAACTATTATATGACATAATTTTTTTCAACACACATGAAACCCTCTAATATTATATGTACCCAGATGCTAGCTTTAATTGTACTTCCTTCATTTTTATTTTCCCCAAAACTAGCAAAAATTATCAAGAAGAAAAGGTGTAAAAGATCTCTTTGATTAAAAAAAAAAAGCAGAGGGTTAAGAGCAAATAGCCAAGTAGCCAAGTAACACATAAAGAATAACATTAACACCAGGATATATAAAGAAGCCCTTCGAATCAGTAAGAGACACAGTAACAAGACACTCCGGTGACAGTGTCTAAATGGCCATTTACATACACTTGATCACAGCAGTAAAAAATGTGTGTCAGCAGAGCAAAGGTCCCAAGTTTCCAAACACCAAACTGACAAAAAAAAATTATTCAAGTCTGAAATAACACTTATGAAGAGCAAATTTTCTCACATCTACCGAGTCTACAAATTGGTTGAGTAATTTGTACATAAAATTGAAAATATGTTTGTCACAGGTATATGACCAATGCTTATAATGGCAAAACATTAATCCAAAACAACTTAGATATAAGACAAAACAAAAGAAGAAAAAACAAACACAATCAAATAATATAGCAAAATTAAGAGAATCAGAGACTTTAATGGGAAGAAGAAAAAAAGTAGGTATATACACACATATTAGTTTTATATCATATAACCCAAACATAAAAGCATATCCTACATATGGATGCCCATGCTTACACTTAATAAAAGACAAACTAAAAACACCTACTGTACCTGATGCAACAGTGGTTGTTGCATCAAGTTCCATGAGAGAGAAGTAAGAGTCATAATTTAAGAGAATTTTCATTATAAATTTTAAGACTTAGGAAAAAAAGAACAAATGCAAATTGAACAAATGTTAATGGTTAACTACATGATAAAAATATAGATGTCTGTATATGCACACAGTTTGTGTAGACACATATATACGTTAGAATGTCTCAAGGTAAAATGAATTTATATTCTGCCTTCAAATTTGAATTATCCCAAAATTAACACACTTTTGTGTAACTAAGCAATGAATTCTAAATAAACTCATTCATCCCAAATTTTAAAGGACAAATGAATAAACGAGATTTTTTTTTTTTTTTGCAATTCACTTAGCTTTTAATAAAAATAAAAAAAATAATTAGAGCATGAGGGAGGTGACGGTGAGATGGCTCAGTGGTTACGAGCACTGGCTCTCACAGAGGAGCCTGTTTTGTGTTCCCAGCACCCACACTGGGAGAGACACAACTGCCTTTAACTCCAGCTCCAGAGGATATGAAGCCCTTCCTCTGGGCTCAGAGAGTACACACATGTGTGACATCCAAACACACATACAGAAGAAAGTTTAAAAAAATATTAGGGCAAAAAAAATTCCCCCAGGATTTAAATGACAATTTGATTAACTGACATAAATGTTGTAATCTAGAAAGACCCACAACAGCATTTCTATCGCTTACCCCATCCACATTTCTCTCAAACATTTAAAAAAGATGCTATGGATATAATCAAAGTGGCTTGCAGCAGAGGTCATAAGTAAAATATCATGAGGCAAAAGAGTCCTGGAAAAAGACGTGGGAAAACTACAAATAAGCAGAGTAAGGACATATTTTTAAAAACAGAGTAAGAATAGACAATCAATGCAAAGATTAAAATGGCTAAGGACCATTTATGGTAGAGAATGAAAATATATAGAGAACCTTGTGAGATCTCTTTTATACTAAACTTTCCTAATAATAATAATAATAATAATAATAGTTATTATTATTAATAATACCATCTACTGGTGTTCAGATATGTATAATAACTTCTCTTGAGTATGAACTAAACTGAGTAGTGTCAAGCCAGCAGAAATAATAGACTATGACTTCTGAGATTAAGGAAGAGACTGAAGCTTCCATCTTTTGCCTTTCCCCTTAGTAAAGAAGCTAACTGCTGGTCTGTGGGCTGGAATGACTATATGGCAAAGAGATGTCGCCCCATGAGTAGCTTGTGAGTGATCTGGGAAGCAGCTTCTTCCCCAGCCAAGCCTGGAGATGACCACAGCACCTGCTAACCTGATTAGAGCTCATGAGAGACCTCGTGCCAAGACAAGGAATTTAAAAGGATGTATTAGATAACTAGAGGGGGTTTGTTACCCATCAACAGATCTACCTTCTGAAGTTATTTTATGTTTGAGATTATAATTACATCTTATAACTACATTTGCCATGAAGACTTTTAGATTGTAGTCTCTGGAACGGAAAGCAGAGCCACATCACAACCCCTACTTAAAATTTCTAGAAGGTTCTTCTGTGCACTATCCCCAAATGTATCCTTATTTAAAAAAATATATATATATACTGAAGCAGAAATAAGTCTCTGTAATGTGTAATCAAAAGAAACTCATGAAAATATTATCTCTTTTAAATAAAAAGGTTGATTTGTATTCGTTATGACTTCAATAAAACATGTAAGTAGATTTATTTCAATCATTTAAATTTTATACACATATCATATATAATTGCTTTCATAATTACCAACTGAAAAATAACTCTTAAAATACCACTTTGCCTACTTTTGTATGATGTAAGGTACACATTATTATATTACCAGCTCTTACAAACTCTAGTGACTTGTAGGCTGCCACTTTTGTAACTGTTAGAACAATGTGGCCAGGCGGATACTCTGTAAACACCCGCTGCCTAAATGAGTAGCTTACCCTGCATCGAGAACAAAACCTAGAGTTTCCATTTTCATGGCCTATAACTTCTACATTATAAGGTCTATGCCTATTTTATCTTCTACAGTTTCCTCCACAGATTAATACACTCTAGGGACACTGGGCTTTGTGTTAAAAAAGTCTTGAAAGCTGACAAGTGACAGTACTTGTTATTTTGAAAATATGAAAACAGCTCTGATAAGATGCTGACCCTTTCCATTCATATTTCTGAGCTACGGTCACCCCATTAAACCCCTACCCTGACCAATATATTTAAAAGAGCTTTGGTCCTTCTCTCTGGGACCGCTTTATTGTTCTCCACACAGCACTAGTACTATTCGACATTTTTATATTCTGGGAAGGAACACAGCTTAAGGGCAGGTTTTTGGTTTTTCTTTTTCAGATTCTTGTTATGTGTATGGGGCTCTGCCTGCATGTACGCCTGTGTACCAGGTATGTAGAGTGCCTCTGGAAGGCAGAAGAGGATGTGTCAGCTGCCCTGTGGGTGCTGGGAATTGAACCTGGGTCCTCTGGAAAAACAGTGAATGCTTTTAACCACTAGGCCATCTCTCTAGTCCTTAAGGGCAAGTTTTAGTCTATGTTTTAAACTCCCAACACTAGAATGCTTCTTGGGCAATGTACTTGTTATGTGTTTGTTACAAGGGATCATGAACTAGCAGTTCATCTCTGTGTGGCAAAGCCTTGCCTTGAATCCCTGACAGGCCTGCCTCCCTTATTTAGGCTGTGTCTCCAGCCTAAATACAGGGATTACATGGACACACTACTACAACCATCACAGGGCATCAAAACACAGGATTCATGTAGCTTTGACTAGCAAAAATATCTAGTTAATTACTATTTTAACAGTGATGTTCAGTTACAGCAACATAAAAATGGGATAATGTGACCCAACCAAGTATGGCTTACTTCGTGAATTCAGGAGAGGTTCACCATTTTTTTTTAAATCAATCACTGAAATTCAGCATATCAAAAAAAAATTTTTTAATGGGATCTCATACTGTAAAAGCATTTCACAAAATGTAAAAATCCATTTATAAGAAAAAAAAAAAGAACTCATGAAATTTAGGAAAAAAAATTCCTTAAACCAGCAAAAATCACAAAATCCTATTGTTTATATCAGAACTGACAGTGCAGGAAGAATTCTCTTGCCCTAATGAAGCAAAATATTCTCATCATTTATGTTTAGTGTCATACTAGAGAATCTACTAAGTAAGCAAGAAAAGAAAGGCAAACAGATTAGAAAATAAATCCCTCTATTAACACATCATATGATTTCTACATAGAAAATCCCAA